CTGTGTATGGTGTCAGAAGGGTATGAGATTAATTGCATGATTTCTTAGTCCATTATATAATATCTAATCATTGGGGTGTACCCCTGAAATTAACCTAAGGTTGTATGTCAACTGTCATTTGAAAAATATTTTAAAAATTCTATAGGACCATGTTACTTTCACAGAGTCACATTACAATTCAAGTATGTTTTGTACAGTTTGTTTTAGAAGAGAGATCTAAAGATAAAAAAGAAAGATAAGTTGAGATTTACAAATTTGCAAAATAAACCAAAGGCAACCACAAACACAACCGTAAAAACCATAAAGATGAAAGCCGAGGTCAAATGCTTTTGGAGACCCCATCCCCTGTCTTTCGATACCAGGACCGAAGTGTTGAGAGGCTCTGAGAAGCTGTGGCTGTTGCTCCTTGGACCACGGAGGGGTCATGGCCAAGCTCCCGTCGAAGGTGCACCTCAGCTCGCACCCCATCTGCCTGACTATCCGTGGGCACTCGGTGTATGAGGACGAGAATGATCGCACGTGGCTGCATGTCGACATGGACACAGAAGGTGACCGGAAAGTACGGTTGCGCCAAGAAGACATCCCCAGTGGGCATATCTCACACACCACCAGTCTGCTGACCTTGACCACCATGCCTTGGCTGTGGACGCTCCACCCTGGCAACAAGTACATGGACTACCTGCGCCGGTTCTGGCGCATCGTGCACCATATCAAGGAGAATGGCGTGGAGGAAATGATCCTTGAGTTGATGGAAGACTCATAGGACACGTGATGGGGTCCCTGGCTCTTGTCAACCTGAGCCCCAGACCTGCTGGCCTGCCGGTGGGACGTGTATAGTTCTGTTCACCTTTTTAATAAGCTCTGTTGTTCTATCTGCCTCCCCCTGGGTACGAGGTCACATTGATGTCTCTCTCTTGCTCTCTCTCTCTCTCTCTCTCTCTCTCTCATTCTTCTTCTTTTGTTGTTGTTGCTGTTGTTGTTGTTGTTGTTGTTCTTCTTCTTCTTCTTCTTCTTCTTCTTCTTCTTCTTCTTCTTCTTCTTCTCCTCCTCCTCCTCCTCCTCCTCCTCCTCCTCCTCCTTTCTCTCTTTCTCAGTCTCTTTGTCTCACTGTCTCTCTCTGTCTCTCTCCCTCTCTTTCAAATCAATAAAAGAATTTTGAGCCACGCTGGTGTTTCTCAGTGGTTGAGGGACGATCTATGAACCTGGAGGTCACGGTTCGATTCCTGGTCTGGGAGCAGACAAGAATTAACCAATGACCCCTAACTTGTTTGGCTCAGTGGATAGAGGTTTGAAATGTGGACTCTGGAAGATCCCAGGTTCGATTCTGGTCAAGGGCACAGGCTCTGCTTGTGGGCTCGATCTCCAGTACAGGGCATGCAGGAGGCACCCGATGTATGTTTCTAGCTCCCTTCGTGTATGAAATCAATCCTACATAATAAAAACCTAATATTCTAAGTATCCTGTTGACCGGTCATCTGTTCAACCAATCAAAGCATAATATACAAATGATATTCGAAAGTTGCTCAACTACTCACTATGACATGCATTGACTACTAGGGACAATACATTCAGACTGTAGGTCAGCTTGCTGCTGGGGTCTTGCTGATTGGGACTGAGTGAGACGGTCTGGACAGGCCCTGGAGCCCTCCAATGGTCCCTCCCCAGCTGGCCAACCTCCCATGTCCTTCCCCAGACCTAATGGTGCACCGGTGGGGTCCCTTGGCCTGGCCTGAATACTCTGATAATCTGGGACCTCTTGGGGATGTCAGAGAGCCAGTTTCAGACTATCCGCGCAGGCCAGGTCAAAGCACCACACTGGTGCATGAATTCGTGCACCAGGCCTCTAGTAAAAATATATTAAACAGAGAAAGAAATAGAAAAAGACCTTATGCCTGAAAATATTAGCCCATCCCCAGTAGACAAGGCTCAAAGACAGCACTGGAAATAGTTTTCATTTCAATGACCAGCGTTCTCATTGTTTGATCTCCTGAGGTACGTCAACCTATACTACCCTCTCCAAATAAGAATGAATGTTTGGGGGATTATGGGTGTTTTATGCTGATCATCTCTTTCCTTTGAGGAATTACGTGGGATGTCAGGGCTCGTCTCCTGAAGTCTCCAGCGGGTTCTGTGTATGGCTTTAGCATCTAGCTCTGGATGCATTTGGGTTTTTAGTTGCGTTTAGCACTAAACAGCCCCAAACAAATCCCAGCCATATAAAATTCATGTAGCATCACACCAGAGAGATGCGGCTGGAGAGGGAGCTGGAGGGAGCCCCAGAAATCAATTTCAGGGCATCCATGGTTGCATTAAAGAGATCACTGGCTGCTGATTAAATTCACCTCTGGCAGGAAAGTGTTTGCAAATGAACATTGAGAACTTTAAGGCTGAGGACTAGGGAGCGTGAGGGATGTGTTTCTAAGGTGTGTTTCTCATATTCAAAATATTGCACTTCAGGTCCAGCTGGTGTGGTTCAGTGGCTGTGTGTCGAACTATCAACCATGAGGTCAGGGTTCGATTCATGGTCAAGCTCACATGACCAGGTTGCGGGCTGGAACCCCAGTAGGGGGAGTGTGTGAGGCAGCCAATCAGTGATTCTCTCTCATCATGGATGTTTCTCTCCCTCTCGCTTTTCCTTCCTCTCTGAGTAAATAAAAACATTTAAAAAATATTAAGCAAGTGTTGCATTCAGATGCCATGCCCATTGTTTGAAAACAGTTTATTATTTTTTTTGTTTAACATACCAGGTGGGTAGTCATTTAAAGACGACGTTGCGGCCAAGCAGGTTTGGCTCGGTGGATAGAGCATCGGCCTTTTTTAAAAATATATATTTTTAATGATTTCAGAGACAAAGAGAGAGGGAGAGAGTTAGAAACATCCATGAGGAGAGAATCAAGGATCAGCCACCTCCTGCATGTCCCTCACTGTGGATCAAGCCCACAACATGGGCATGCGCCCTTGACCGGGAATCAAACCCGAGACCCTTCAATTCGAAGTCTGACACTCTATCCACTGAGCCAATCTGGCTATGGCCTATTTGACTTTTTCAAAGGGTGGAAACGCCTTGAAGAAGAACGAAGCATATCAGCATTCATGTCACAGTAATTACATGAATTCATGTAATTCATGGGTATTACTACTTACCTCACCTTTCTTTCCACATTGTTCCTGTAATTGTGGACTCTGACTAATAATGAAGATTGTAGGTAAACAGCATGTTTGTATAAGAATCCTAGAAACTAATTTTACAAGATATTAACTCTGACCTTACCCGTTCTGGGAGACTGGATGACCTTCAAACTTAGAACCAGGAGGACAAAGTCTAGGATGACGCACACTGGACAGACACCTGACCACTTGCAAGATCCTTATCAGATTGGACTGTGCCTGTCGGCACATAGAGAATTTCTCAAGCCCCGCCCCCTGACCTCTTTGCTCTGTTTGGCCTCTCCCTCCTTATAAAAGCCTCTGCCTACACTATGATGTGCAGATGGGTTCTGGAACGAGCTTCCTCCATCTTCTCAGGTTTCAGGCACCAGAATCAACCTCTTTCCTTTCTGACGACCACCTGTCTCACGGGACTGGTTTCTGGGGTGTGAGTCAGGGGAATCTTGTTTTTTCTGGACACATTCCTGGTACATGGACTCCCTGGAACAGGTGTATCATGGACATTTTCTTTCTTCTGCAGACGACAGAGGGAATCAGAGACCAGTCACAGAGGAAAGGAACGAAGAACGGTGCTTGGCCTTCAGAGCAAGAAGAACAGGTAAGAAAAAATGGATGGGTGGAGGAGGAGGAAAATTGAGGATGGAGTCTGATCTGAAGGAGGAATTTGGACTTTGTGGACTGAAGTGAGTTTAGCAGCGAAAACATACAGCTCTTGCCAAGAGCATCGCTGAGGTTTGGGGAAGGGAGAGATCATTCTATATGAGACTTGATGAATCCTACTTGCTGTTTCACCTCTCTCTTTGCTGCCTTATTTCCCCATCAACTTTCTCAGGTATCGGCCTCTCTCACCAGCACCTGAGAAGCAAGACCGCTGTTAAGAAGCCCACCTTGATGCTGATGTTAGCTGTTCCTTTATCAGCTGCTAAAGGTAAAGCATATTATTTACAAATGATTTCCATGGGTTGGGTTATTCTATGGTTTGTGAGTTCCCTCTGAGATGATAAGAAAGACGTTTGTGGTGTCAGGACAAAAAGAAAAGTTGATCCAACAACAAAGTTTTAATTAAGAAAAAAAGAAAAGAAAAGAAAAGGACATCCCTCAAGGGGTCCTGGACTGGGAGAGGCTGCAGGATTGGCTGAGGGACCCCCAAGAGTCCATAGGTTTTGAGCACTGCGCATCAAGTAATATTATAACTGTGTATGGTGTCAGATGGGTATGAGATTAACTGCATAATTTCTTAGTCAACTATATAATGTCTAATCATTGAGGTGTACCCCTGAAATGAACCTAACATTCTATTTCAACTGTCATTTAATAATGTATTAAAAATTCTACAGGACCATGTTACTTTCATAGAATCATATTTTACATTAAGTACATTTTGTACAGTTTGTTCTAGGAGAGAGATCTAAAGCTATAAAGAAAGAAAAGTTGAGATTTATAAATTTGCAAAATAGCCGAAACCGGTTTGGCTCAGTGGATAGAGCGTCGGCCTGCGGACTGAAGGGTCCCAGGTTCGATTCCGGTCAAGGGCATGTACCTTCGTTGCGGGCATATCCCCAGTGGGAGATGTGCAGGAGGCAGCTGATCGATGTTTCTAACTCTCTATCTCTCTCTCCCTTCCTCTCTGTAAAAAATCAATAAAATGTATTTTTAAAAAAAATTTGCAAAATAAACCAAAGGCAACCACAAACACAACCGTAAAAACCATAAAGAATAAAGCGAAGATAAAATGCGTTTGGAGACCCCATCCCCTGTCTTTCTATAACAGGTCCGATGTAGCGAGAGGCTCTGAGAACTGTGTCTGTTGCACCTTGGAACACGGAGGGGTCATGGCCGAGCTCCCATCAAAGGTACACCTCACCTCGCACCCCAAGTGCCTGAGGATCCTTGAGCACTTAGTATATGAGGACGAGAAGCATCGCACATGGCTGCATCTCTTCATGGACACAGGTGTCATGCAGGTACGCTTGCGCCTGGAAGACATCCCCAGTCAGCATATTGCCCTCAGCACCAGCCCGCAGACCTTGAGCACCATGCCTTGGATGTGGACGCTCCATTCTGGCAGCCAGTACGTGGACCCCTTAAACCGGTTCTGGCGCATCGTGCACCACGTCAAGGAGAATGGCGTGGAGGAAATGATCCTTGAGCTGATGGCCGACTTGTAGGACACTTGCTGGTGTCCCTGGCTCTTGTCAACCTGAGCCCCAGTCCTGCTTCTGCTGGTGGGATGTGTATAGTTCTGTTCACCTTTTTACTAAGCTCTGTTGTTCTATCTGCCACCCCCTGGGTTCCAGGGCACATTGATGTCTCTCTCTCTCTCTCTCTCTCTCTCTCTCTCTCTCTCTCTCTCTTTCTCCTTGTTCTTCTTGTTGTTCTCGTTCTTCTTCTTCTTCTTCTTCTTCTTCTTCTTCTTCTTCTTCTTCTTCTTCTCCTTCTCCTTCTCCTTCTCCTTTTTCTTCTTCTCATCCTCCTCCTTTCTCTCTCTCACTCTGAATCTTTGTCTTACTGTGTCTCTGTGTCTCTCTCTTTCTCTCTCAAATCAATAAAAGCATTTTGAGCCAAGCTGGTGTTTCTCAGTGGTTGAGGGATGACCGATGAACCTGGAGGTCACGGTTTGATTCCTGGTCAAGGCACAGACAAGAATTAACCAATGAGCCCTAGCGTGTTTGGCTAAGTGGGGAGAGGGTTGGAAAGTGGACTCTGGAAGGTTCCAGGTTTGATTCTGGTCAAGGGCACATGCTCTGGTTTTGGGATCGATCCCCAGGAGGGGGCGTGCAGGAGGCAACCAATGTATGATTCTCTCTCATCATTGATGTTTCTTGCTCCCTTCCTGTATGAAATCAATCCTATATAATAAAAGCCTAATATGCTAAATGTCTAGTCGACCTGCCATCTGTTCAACCCATCAATGGATAATATGAAAATGATATACTAAGGTTGCTCAACTGCTCACTATGACATGCATTTACCACCAGGGTCATGACATTCAGACTGGTAGGTCAGCTTGTTGCTGGGGTCTGGATGATTGGGACTGAGTGAGACATGCTGGACACATCCTGGAGCCCTCCCATGGTCCCTCCCCAGCTGGCCAACTTCCTACATCCCACCCAGGCCCCGATCGTGCACCAGTGGGGTCCCTCACCCTGGCCTGCACCCTCTCATAATCGGGCACCCCTCAGGGGATGTCAGAGAGCCAGTTTCAGCCAATCACCGCAGGCCAGGCTAAGGCACTACACTAGTGCACGAATTTGTGCACCAGGCCTCTGGTAAAAATATATTAAACAGAGAAAGACAAAGAAAAAGACCTTAAGCCTGAAAATATGAGCCCAGCCCCATTAGACAAGGCTCAAAGACATCACTGGAAATAGTTTTCATTTCTATGACCAGCGTTCTCATTGTTTGATCTCCTGAGGTTCGTCAACCGATACTACCCTCTCCAAAAAAAGAACGAATGTTTGGGGGATTACAGGTGTTTTATGCTGATCATCCCTTTCCTTTGAGGAATTACGAGGGATGCCAGGGAGCATATCCTGAGGGCTTGAACCGGCTCTGTGTATGGCTTTAGCATCTAGCTCTGGATGCATTTGGGTTTTTAGTTGTGTTTAGCACTAAACAGCCCCAAACAAAGCCCAGCGATCATAAAATTCATCTAGCATCGCACCGGAGTGAGGCGGCTGAAAAGGGAGTCGGGAAGAGTCCCAAAAATTAATTTCAGGGCATCCATGGTTGGATTAATGAGATCACTGACTGCTGATAAAATTCTCCTACTACAGGAAAGTGTTTGCAAATGCAAATTGAGACCTATAAGGCTGAGGACTGCGGAGCGTGCGGGTCATGTTTCCAAGTTGCGTTTCTCATATTCAAAATATTGCACTTCCGGCCCCGCCGACGTGGCTCAGAGGTTGAGCGTCAACCTATCAACCATGAGGCCATGGTTTGATACCCAGTCATGGGCACGTGCCCGGGTTGCGGGGTCCATCCCCAGTAGGAGGCGTGTGGGAGGCCGCCGGTCCGTGATTCTCTCTCATCATGGATGTTTCACTCCCTGTTGACTTTCTTTCCTCTCTGAGTCAATAAAATCATTTGAAAAAATATTAAGCAAGTGTTGCATTCAGATTAAATGCACATTGTTGTAAAATAGTTTATTATTTTTTTGGTTTAACATACCAGGTTGGTAGTCATTTAAAAACGACTTAGCACCCGAGATGCTTTGGCTCAGTGGATAGAGCGTCGGCCTATTTTTTCAAATATATTTTTATTGATTTCACAGAGGAAGGGAGAGGGAGAGAGTTAGAAACATCCATGATGAGAGAATCATGGATCAGCTGCTTCCTGCAAGTCCCTCATTGGGGATCAAGCCCACAACCTGGGCATGTGCCCTTGACTGGGAATCAAACCTGGGACCCTTCAGTCTGCAGGCCGACACTCTATCCACTGAGCCAAACCAGCCATGGCCCATTTGACCTTTTTAAAGGGTGGAAACGCCTTGAAGAAGAATGAAGCAGCTCAGCATTCACGTCACAGTGGGAATTACAACTCATCGCACCATTCTTTCAACATTGTTCCTGTTAATGCAGACTCTGACTAATAATGAAGCTTGTAGGTACACAGCATGTTTGTATAAGAATCCTAGCAACTAATTTTACAAGATGTGAACTCTGACCTTCCCAGTTCTGGGAGATTTGCTGACCTTCAACATTAGAACCAGGAGGACAACATCTAGGATGACGCACACTGGACTGACACTTGACCACTTGATAGATCCTTATCAGATTGTACTTTGCCTGTTGTCACGGAGAGAACTTCTCAAGCCATGACATCTGACCGCCTTGCTCTGTTTGGCCTCTCCCTCCTTATAAAAGCCTCTGCCTGCACTTAGATGTGAAAATGGGATTTGGGACGAGCTTCCTCCATCTTCTCAGGTTGCCGGCACCTGAATAAACTTCTTTCCTTCCTCACCACGACCTGTCACACAGGACTGGTTTCTGGCGTGTGAGTCAGGCAAACCTTGTTTTTTCTGGACACATTCCTGATACATGGACTCCTTGGAAAATATGTATCATGGCCATTTTCTTTTTTCTGCAGGTGACAGCGGGAAGCAGAGACCGGTCACAGAGGAAAGGAGTCAAGAACGGTGCTTTCCCTTCAGAGCAAGTAGTACAGGTAAGAAAAAGATGGATGGGAGGAGGAGGAGGAAGGATTGGGGATGGAGTCTGATCTGAGGGAGGAATTTGGACTTTGTGGACTGAAGGGAGTTTAGGAGCAAAACTATACAGCTCTTGCCAAGAGAATGGCTGATGATTGGGGAAGGGAGAGATCATTCCATAAGTGTTGTTATGAGACCTCAGGATTCCTACTTGCTGTTTCACCTGACACTTTGTTTCCTGTGTTCCCGATCAGCTATCCAAAATGTCTGTCTGTCCCTGAACATTTTGGCACTGCCTCTCTCACCAGCACCTGAGGAGCAAGACCTCTGTTAAGAAGCCCAGGTGGATGCTGACATTTGCTTTGTTCCTCTGCCAGCTGTTAAAGGTAAGGCATATTATTTGCAAATTTTTTGCCTGGGGTGGGTTGCTCTATGGTTTGTGAGTTCCCTCTGAGATGATCAGAAAGAAGGTGTTGGTGTCAGGACAAAAATAAAAGTTGAACAAACTACAAAGTTTTCATTAAGAAAAAAAAAAGAAAAGAAAAGAAGAGAAAAGAAAAGAATAGAAGGGAAAAGTGCCAGGTTGGCATGGCTCAGTTGTTCCGATAAAACCTAAGGTTCTTTGTTAACTGTCATTTAAAAAATGTTTTTAAGATTCTATAGGACCATCATTCATTCATAGAGTCATATTTTACCTTAAGTACTTTTTGTACTGTTTTGTCGAGAAGAGAGCTCTAAAACTGAAAAGAAAGAAAAGTTGAGATTTTTTAATTTGCAAAATAAACCAAAGGCCACCACAAACACAACCATAAAAACCATAAAGATAAAAGCCGAGGTAAAATAGGTCTGGAAACCCCATCCCCTGTCTTTCGATGCCAGGACCGAAGTAGCGAGAGGCTCTGAGAAGCTGTGGCTATTGCTCCTTGGACCACAGACGGGTCATGGCGGAGCTCCCATCGAAGGTGCACCTCCGCTCGCACCCCATCTGCCTGAGTATCCGTGGGCACTCGGTGTATGAGGACGAGGACCACCGCACATGGCTGCATCTCGACATGGACACAGGAGGTGACCGGAAAGTACGGTTGCGCCAGGAAGACAACCCCAGTGGGCATATATCACACACCATCTGCCCGCTGAACTCGAGCACCATGCCTTTGATGTGGACACTCCAAACTGGCAGCCTGTACCGGGACTCCATGGGCCGGTTCTGGCGCATCGTGCACCATGTCAAGGAGGATGACATGGAGGAAATGATCCTTGAGCTGATGGAAGACTCGTAGGACATGTGATGGGGTCCCTGGTTCTTGTCAACCTGAGCCCCAGTCCTGCTGGCCCGTTGGTGGGACATGTATAGTTCTGTTCACCTTTTTACTAAGCTCTGTTGTTCTATCTGCCACCCCCTCGGTGCGAGGGCACATTGATGTCTCTCTCTGTCTCTCTCTCTCTCTCTCTCTCTCTCTCTCTCTCTGTTCTTATTCTTCTTTTTCTTCTCCTCCTTCTCCTTTCTCTCTCTCTCTCTCTCTCTCTCTCTCTCTCTCTCTCTCCCTCTACCACAAATCAATAAAAGCTTTTGAGCCAAACTGGTGTTTCTCAGTGGTTGAGGGACGACCTATGAACCCGGAGGTCACGATTCGATTCCTGGTCAGGGCACAGACAAGAATTAACCAATGAGCCCTAGCTTGTATGGCTCAGTGGATAGAGGGTTGGACTGTGGACTCTGGAAGGTCCCAGGTTCGATACTGGTCAAGGGCACATGCTCTGGTTATGGGCTCAATCCCTAGTAGGGGGCGTGCTGGAGGCACCCGATGTATGATTCTCTCTCATCATTGATGTTTCTCGCTCCCTTCCTGTATGAAATCAATCCTATATAATAAAAGCCTCATGTGCTAAGTGTCCAGACGACCGGTCATCTGTTCAACCAATCAAAGCATAATATGCAAATGATATGCTAAGGTTGCTCAACTGCTCACTAAGACATGCATTGACCACCAGGGACAAGACATTCAGACTGGTAGGTCAGCTTGCTGCTTCGGTCTGGCTGATCGGACTGAGTGAGATGGGATGGACACACCCTGGAGTCCTCCTACGGTCCTGCCCCAGCTGGCCAAAATCCCACATCCCACCCCGGCCCCGATCATGCACTTGTGGGATCCCTTGGCCTTGCCTGTATGCTCTTGTAATCTGGGACCACTCATGGGATGTCAGAGAGCCAGTTTCGGCCGATCCCCGCAGGCCAGGCCTTGGGAACACACTGGTGCATGAATTCGTGCACCAGGCCTCTAGTAAAAATATATTAAACAGAGACAAAGAAAAAGACCTTAACCCTGAAAATATTAGCCCAGCCCGAGTAGACAAGGCTCGAAGACATCACTGGAAATAGTTTTCATTTAAATGACCAGCGTTCTCATTGTTTGATCTCCTGAGATTCGTCAACCAATACTACCCTCTCCAAAAAAAGAACGAATGTTTGTGGGATTACTGGTGTTTTATGCTGATCATCTCTTTCCTCTGAGGAATTATGAGGGATGCTAGGGATCGTCTCCTGGAGGCTCCCGCTGGCTCTAGCATCTAGCTCTGGATGCATTTGGGTTTTTAGTTGTGTTTAGCACTAAACAGCCCCAAACAAAGCCCAGCGATCATAAAATTCATCTAGCATTGCACCAGAGAGAGGCAGCTGGAGAGGGAGATGGAGGGAGCCCCAGAAATCAATTTCAGGGCATCCATGGTAGCATTAAAGAGATCACTGACTGCTGATTAAATTCTTCTCTGGTAGGAAAGTGTTTGCAAATGCACATTGAGACTTTTAATGCTGAGGACTAGGTACGTGAGGGATGTGTTTCTAAGGTGTGTTTCTCATATTTAAATATTGCACTTAGGACCAAGCTGGCGTGGTTCCGTGGCTGATTGTTGACCTATCAACCAGGAGGACACGGTTCGATTACCTGTCAAGGGCACATGCCCGGGTTGTGGGCTCGATCCACAGTAGGGGGCGTTTGTCAGGCGGCCGATCCGTGATTCTCTCTCATCATGGATGTTTCAATCCCTCTCGCTTTTCCTTCTTCTCTGAGTCAATAAAAACATTTAAAAAATATTAAGCAAGTGTTGCATTCAGATGACATGCACATTGTTTGAAAATAGTTTATTATTTTTTTTTGTTTCACATACCAGCTGTGTAGTCATTTAAACACGACCATGTGCCCGAGCAGGTTTGGCTCAGTGGAAAGAGCGTCAGCCTTTTTTTCATATAAATTTTTATTGATTTCAGAGACAAATAGAGAAGGAGAGAGTTAGAAACATCCATGATGAGAGAATCATCGATCGGCCAACTCCTGCATGTCCCTCACTGGAGATCAAGCCCACAACCTGGGCATGTGCCCTTGATGGGGAATCAAACCCGAGACCCTTCAATTCGAAGGCTGACACTCTATCCACTGAGCCAAACCTGCTATGGCCTATTTGACTTTTTCAAAGGGTGGAAACGCCTTGAAGAAAAACGAAGCCTCTCAGCATTCATGTCACAGTAATTTCATGAATTCATCTGATTCATGGGTATTTCAACTTACCTCACCATTCTTTCCACATTGTTCTTGTAGATGCGGACTCTGACTAATAACGAAGCTTGTTGGTAAACAGCATGTTTGTATAAGAATCCTAGGAACTACTTTTAGAAGATATTAACTCTGACCTTTCCCGTTCTGGGAGACTTGATGTACTTCAACCTTAGAACCAGGAGGACAAAGTCTCTGATAATGCACACTGGACCGGCACTTGACCACTTGCAAGATCTTTATCAGATTGTATTGTGCCTGTGGTCATGTAGAGATCTTCTCAAGCCCCTCCCACTGACCTCTTTGCTCTGTTTGGCCTCTCCCTCCTTATTAAAGCCTTTGCCTGCACTACATGTGCAGAAGGGTTTTGGGACGAGCTTTCTCCATCTTCTCAGGATGCCAGCACCTGAATAAACCTCTTTCCTTCCTCATCACCACCTGTCTCACGGGACTGGTTTCTGGGGTGTGAGTCAGGGGAACCTTGTTTTTTCTAAACACATGAACTTCTGGGAATATGTGTATCATGGTCATATTCTTTCTTCTGCAGGTGACAGGGGGAAGCAGAGACCGGTTACAGAGGAAAGGAGCAAAGAACCATGCTTCAGAGCAAGAAGAAACAGTAAGAAAAAGATTGATGGGAGGAGGAGGAGGAAGTATTGGGGATGGAGTCTGATCTGCTGTTAGAATTTGAACTTTGTGGACAGAAGTGAGTTTAGCAGCAAAACCATACAGCTCTTGCCAAGTGCATGGCTGAGGTTTGGGGAAGGGAGAGATCATTCTATAAGTGATGTTATGAGACCTCAGGAATCCTACTTGCTGTTTCACCTCTCTTTGCTTCCTGTTTTCCCGTTCAGCAATCCCAGGTATCTGTCTGTCCCTGAATATTTTGGTCATGCCTCTCTCACCAGCACATCAGAAGCAAGACTGCTGTTAATAAGCCCACCTGGATGCTAACGTTAGCTTTGTTCCTCTGCCAGCTGTTAAAGTAAAGCATATTATTTGCATATTACTTGCATGGGGTGGGTTGTTCTATCGTTTGTGAGTTACCTCTGAGATGATCAGGAAAAGGTGGTGTAGAAAGGACACAAAGAAATGTTGAACCAACTACAAGGTTTTAATTAAGAAAAAAGAAAAGTAAAGGAGAGAATAGAAAAGAAAAGAATAGAAAAGAAAAGAAAAGAAAAGAAAAAAAGAAAAGAAAAGAAAAGAAAAGAAAGGAAAGGAAAAGAAAAGAAGAGACAAGAGCCCGGCCGGTGTGGCTCATTTGTTTAGCTTAAATCTAGGAACCAGGAGATGTCAATTCGATTCCCTGTCAGGGCACATGCCTGGGTTACAGTCCTGATGCCCAGTAGGGGGCATGCAGGAGGCAACCAATCCGTGATTCTCTGTCATCATTGATCTTTCTCTTTCTCTCCGTCCCTTCCAACCTGAAATCAGTAAAACTATATGAAAAAAATGAAAGAATAGTCATGGCACAGTAAAGTAGAGCATTGAGTCAATGCAATCCTATATAATAAAAGCCTAATATGCAAATTGACCAAATGGCAGAACAACTGCTCACTATGACACACACTGACCCCCGGGGGCAGATGTTCATGTCAGGAGCAGTCTACTGGTATTCAGTGCACTGCCACAGGGGAGCGCCGCTCAGCCAAAAGCCAGGCTCACAGCTGCCGAGCATAGGGGTTGGTGGTAGCATCCACGGCAGCACTAAAACGGGCCTAAGCCGTCAGTTGGACATCCCTCAAGGGGTCCCGGACTGGGAGAGGCCTCATGGTTGGCAGAGGGACCCCCCACATTGCATAGATTTTTGTGCACTGAGCCTCTAGTAATATTATAACTGTGTATGGTGTCAGACGGGTATGAGATTAATTGCATGATTTCTTAGTCTTTTATATAATGTCTAATCATTGGGGTGTACCCCAGAAATGAACCTAATGTTCTATGTCAACTGTCATGTAACAAATATTCTTGAAAATCCATAGGACCATGTTACCTTCATAGAGTCATGTTTTACCTTAAGTATGTTTTATACAGGTTTTTCAAGAAGAGAGATCTAAAGCTAAAAAAGAAAGAAAAGTTGAGATTTATAAATTTACACAATAAAGCAAAGGCAACCACAAACACAACCGTAAAAACCATAAAGATAAAAGTCGAGGTAAAATGCATTTGCAGACCCCATCCTCTGTCTTTCGATACCAGGACTGAAGTAGCGAGAGGCTCTGAGAAGCTGTGCTTTTTGCTCCTTGGACCTCGGAGGGGTCATGGCCCAGCTCCCATCAAAGGTGCACCTCTACTCGCACCCCATCTGCCTGAGGCGTAGGCCCTCGGTGTATGAGGACGAGAATGATGGCACATGGTTGCCCCTCGTCATGGAGACAGGAGGTGTCCTGCATGTACGGTTGCGCCAGGAAGACATCCCCAGTGGGGATATCCCACTCACCACCAGCCCGCTGACCTTGTGCGCCATGCCTTTGATGTGGACGCTCCACCTTGGCAGCCAGTACCTGTACTGCAGATGCCGGTTCTGGCGCGTCGTGCACCACATCAAGGAGAATGGCGTGGAGGAAATGGTCCTTCAGTTGATAGAAGACGCCTAGGACACGTGATGTTGTCCCTGGCTCTTGTCAACCTGAGCCCCAGTCCTGCTGGCCTGCCGGTGGGACGTGTATAGTTCTCTTCACCATTTTACTAAGCTCTGTTGTTCTATCTGCCACCTCCTGGGTGCGAGGGTACATTGATGTCTCTCTCTCTCTTCTTGTTGTTGTTGTTGTTGTTGTTGTTGTTCTTCTTCTTCTTCTTCTTCTTCTCCTTCTTCTTCTCCTCCTCCTTTCTTTCTTTCTTTCTCTCTCTCTCTGTCTCTTTGTCTCGCTGTCTCTCTCTGTCTCTATCCCTCTCTCTTCTTCTTCTCCTCCTCCTCCTTCTTTCTTTCTTTCTTTCTTTCTCTCTCTCTCTGTCTCTTTGTCTCGCTGTCTCTCTCTGTCTCTGTCTCTCTCTCTCAAATCTATAAAAGCATTTTGAGCCAAGCTGGTGTTTCTAAGTGTATGAGGGACGACCTATGAACCCAGAGATCACAGTTTGATTCCTGGTCAGGGCACAGACAAGAATTAACCAATGAGCCTTAGCTTGTTTGGCTCAGTGGATAGTGGGTTGGACTATGGACTCTGGAAGGTCCCAGGTTCAATTCTGGTCAAGGGCACATGCTCTGGTTGTGGGCTTGATCCCATGTAGGGGGCATGCAGTAGGCACCGGAAATATGATTCTCTCTCATCATTGATGTTTCTTTCTCCCTTCCTGTATGAAATCAATCCTATATAATAAAAGCTTAATATTCTAAGTGTCCAGTCGACAGGTCATCTGTTCAATCAATCAAAGCATAATATGCAAATGATATGCTAAGGTTGCTCAACTGCTCACTATGACATGCATTGACCACCAGGGACAAGACTTTCAGACTGGTAGGTCAGCTTGCTGCTGGGGTCTGGCTGATCGGGACTGAGTGAGACATGCCGGACACACCCATGATCCCTCCCCAGCTGGCCAACATCCCGTGTCCCTCCCCAGATCTAATGTTGCACCGTTGGGGTCCCTTGGCCTGGCCTGTGGCCTCTCATAATCTGGTACCCCTTGGAGGATGTCAGAGAACCAGTTTCAGATGATCCCGCAGCCCAGGCCAAGGCACCACACTGGTGCATGAATTTGTGCACCAGGTCTCTGGTAAAAATATATTAAACAGAGACAGACAAAGAAAAAGACCTTAACCCTGAAAATCTTAGCCCACCCCCAGTAGACAAGGCTCAAAGACATCATTGGAAATAGTTTTCCTTTAAATGACCAGCGTTCTCATTGTTTGATCTCCTGAGGTTCGTCAACCGATATTACCCTCTCCAAAAAAAGAATGAATGTTAGAGGGATTATGGTTGTTTTATGCTGATCATCTCTTTCCTTTGAGGAATTATGAGGGATGCCAGGGCTCATCTCCTGAAGGCTAGAACCGGCTATGTGTGTGGCTTTAGCATCTAGTTCTGGATGCATTTGGGTTATTAATTGTGTTTAGCACTAAACAGCCCCAAACAAAGCCCAGCGATCATAAAATTCATCTAGCATCGCACCAGAGAGAGGAGGCTGGAGGGGGAGCCGGAGGAAGCCCCAGAAATCTATTTCAGGACATCCATTGTTGCATTAAAGAGATCACTGACTGCTTTTTAAATTCAGTGGCTGAACATGGACCTATCAACCAGGAGGTCATGGTTTGATTCCCTGTAAAGGGCACATGCCCGGGTTGCGGGCTCCATCCTTAGTAGGGGGTTTGGGGAGGTTGTCAATCCCTGATTATCTCTCATTATGGATGTTTCTCTCCCTGTCGTTTTCCGTTCCTCTCAGAGTCAGTAAAATCATTTTAAAAAATATTAGCAATTGTTACATTCAAATGGCCTGCAAATTGTTTTAAAATAGTTCATTATTTTTTTGGTTTAACATACCAGGTGTGTAGATATATAAAGATGCCCTAGCGCCAGTGCTGGTTTGGCTCAGTGGATAGAGCGTAGGAATGTGAATGGAAGTGTCCAGGTTTGATTACACTCAAGGGCACAGGAACAGGTTGCGGGTTCTATTCCCAGTGGGGGGTGTGCAGGAGGCATCCAGTCCATGATTCTCTCTCATCAGCACTGATGTTTTTATTTCTCTCTCCCTTCCTCTCTGAAATCAATAAAAAATATATACATATATTTTTTATAAAAGAGCCCACCCCTCGAGATGTGTCATGTGTCACACTGCAGACACTCTGTCCCGTGACCCCTTTGGGCTCGATCCTTTCGAGGGCAGTATGAGGGTGACATTTGAATTTTTTTTCCTCCCATATATTATTTTATTATTTTATTCTTTTCTCCTAAATGCAAACAGGCAGATATCAGACTTTTCCTTATGGCCCCATTCATCTTTCCTTCCTAACTGGGGAAGAGTTTGCCTCTGTCCAGGTCATTGAGCTGGGAGTTGTATTTAATTTTTCTTTTCAGAGAAGGATGGAGAGGGAGAGAGTTAGAAACATCCATGATGACAAAATCATGGATCGGCTCCCTCCTGCAAGTCCCTCCCTGGGGATCAAGCCCACAAACAGGGCATGTGCCCTTGACCGGGAATTGAACCCGGAACCCTTCAGTTCGCAGGCCAGCACTCTATCCACATAGCCAAACCAGCCACGGCCAATTTTACTTTTTCAAAGGGTGGAAATGCCTTGAAGAAGAAAGAAGCATTTCAGCATTCATGTCACAGTGGGAATTACATCTCACCTCACCATTTCTAAATTGTTCCTGTAATTGCAGACTCTGACTAATAATGAATCTTGTAGGTAAACAGCATGTTTGTGTAAGAATCCTAGGAACTAATTTTACAAGATATGAACTCTGACCTTTTCAGTTCCGGGAAATTTGTTTACGTTCAGCCTTAGAACCAGCTGGACAAAGGCTATGATGACGCACTCTGGACCGACACCTGACCACTTGTAAGATCCTTATTGTATTGGACTGTGCCTGTGGGCACATAGAGTACTTCTCAAGCCCCGCCCCCTGACCTCTTTGCTCTGTTTGGCCTCTCCCTCCTTATAAAAGCCTCTGCCTGCACTGAGATGTGCAGATGGGTTTTGGGACAAGCTTCCACCCTCTTCTCAGGTTGCCAGCAACTGAATAAACCTCATTCCTTCCTCACCACCTCCTGTCTCACGTTTCTGGCGTGTGAGTCAGGGGAACCTTGTTTTTCTGGACAAATTCCTGGTACATGGACTCCTGGGAATATGTGTATCATGGTCATGTTCATTCTTCTGCAGGTGACAGGGGGAAGCAGAGACCGGTCACAGAGGAAAGAAGCAAAGAATAGGCTTTTGCCTCCATTGCAAGAAGAACCGGTAAGAAAAGATGGATGGGAGGAGAAGGAGCAGGAGGAGGAGGAAAGATTGGGGATGGAGTCTGATCTGAGGGAGGAATTTAGACTTTGTAGACTGAAGTGAGTTTAGCAGCAAAACCATACAGCTCTTGCCAAGAGCATGGCTGAGGTTTGGGGAAGGGAGAGATCATTCTATAAGTGATGTTATGAGAACTCAGGAATCCTACTTGCTGTTTCACCTGACTCTTAATTCCGGTTTGCCTGATCAGCTATCCCAGTATCTGTCTGTCCCTGAATATTTTGGTCTTGCCTCTCCCTCCAGCACCTGAGAAGTAAGACCGCTGTTAAGAAGCCCACCTGGACGCTGACATTAGCTTTGTTCCTCTGCCAGCTGTTAAAGGTAAAGCATATTATTTGCATAATATTTGCGTGAGGTGGCTTATTCTATGGTTTGTGAGTTCCCTCTGAGATGATCAGAAAGAAGGTGGTGTTGTCAGGACAAAAAGAAAAGTTGAATCAACTACAAAGTTTTAATTAAGAAAAAAAGGAAAGAAAAGAGCCCGGCTGGCCTGGCTCAGTTGTTTAGCTTAAACCTAGGAACCAGGAGATGTCGATTCGATCCCCAGTCAAGGCACAAGCCCGGGTTAAAGTCTTGATCCCCAGTAAGGGGCATGCAACAGGCAAAAAATCCGTGATTCTCTGTTATCATTGATCTTTCTCTCTCTCTCTCCCTCTCCCTTCCTCTCTGAAATCAGTAAAACTATATGAAAAAAATGAAAGAATAGTCATAGCACAGTAAAGTAGAGCATTGAGTCAATCAATATAATAAATGGCTAATATGCAAATGGACCAAACAGCAGAAAGACTGGTCACTATGACACGCACTGATTACCTGGGGCAGATGCTGATGGCAAAAGCTGTCCACCGGTGGTGATGCGCTCCAACAGTGGGAGCGCCAGTCACCCAAAAGCCAGGCTAAGAGTTGCTGAGCACAGGGGGGTGATGGGAGCCTCCATGGCAGCAATAAAGCGGGCCTAAGCCGTCAGTTGGACAACCCGCAAGGGGTCCCAAACTGGAAGAGGCTGAAGCGCTGACTAAGGGACCCCCCGCAAGTGCATGAATTTTGTGCACTGAGCCTCTAGTTATATTATAATAACTGTGTACGGTGTCAGATGGGTTTGAGATTAATTGCATGATTTGTTGGTCCATTATATAATGTCTAATCATTGGGGTGTACCCTGACAGGGACCTAATCTTCTAAGTCAACTGTCATTTTAAAAATGTTTTTAAAATTCTATAGGACCATGTTACCTGCAGAGAGTCATATTTTTCCTTAAGTACGTTTTGTACAGTTAGTTCTAGGAGAGAGATCTAAAGCTAAAAAGAAAGAAAAGTTAAGATTTATAAATTTGCAAAATAAACCAAAGGGAACCACAAACACAACGGTAAAAACCATAAAGATAAAAGCCAAGGTAAAATGCATTTGGAGACCCATCCCCTGTCTTTCGATACCAGGACCGAAGTAGCGAGAGGCTCTGAGAACAGTGACTGTTGCTCCTTGGACCACGGATGTGTCATGGCCGAGCTCGGGTCGAAGGTGCACCTCACCTCGCACCCCATCCTCCTGAGGCGTGGGACCTCAGGGTATGAGGACGAAAACGATCGCACATGGTTGCACCTCATCATGGAGACAGAAGATGTCCTGAAAGTCCTGTTGCACCAGGTAGACATCCCCACTGAGGATATTGCACTCACCCCAAGCACGCTGACCTCGTTCACCATGCCTTTGATGTGGACGCTCCAATCTGGTAGCCAGTACGTGGACAACATGCACAGGTTCTGGCGCATCGTGCGCCACATAAAGGTGAATGGATTGGAGGAAATGATCCTTGAGCTGATGGAAGACTCATAGGACATGTGATGGGGTCCCTGGCTCTTGTCAACCTGAGCCCCAGTCCTGCTGGCCTGCTTGTGGGACATGGATAGTTCTGTTATCCTTTTTACTAAGCTCCATTGTTCTATCTGCCGGCTCAAGTGCAAGGGCACATTGATGTCTCTCTCTCTCTCTCTCTCTCTCTCTTCTCCTTCTTATTCTTCTTCTTGTTCTTATTCTTCTTCTTGTTTTTGTTCTTCTTGTTCTTCTTGTTCTTATTGTTCTTCTGGTTCTAGTTCTCCTCCTCCTCCTTCTTCTTCTTCTTCTTCTTCTTCTTCTTCTTCTTCTTCTTCTTCTTCTTCTTCTTCTTCTTCTTCTTCTTCTTCTTCTTCTTCTCCTTCTTCTTCTTCTTCTTCTCCTTCTTCTTCTTCTTCTCCTCCTCCTCCTCCTTTCTCTCTCTCTCACTCTCTGTCTCTTTGTCTCCCTGTATGTCTCTGACTCTCTCCCTCTCTCTCAAATCAATAAAAGCATTTTGACCCAAGCTGGTGTTTATCAGTGGTTGATGGAGGAGTTATGAACCCGGAGGTCACAGTTCCATTCCTGGTCCGGGCACAGACAAGAATTAACCAATGAGCCCTAGCTTGTTTGGTTCAGTGGATAGAGGGTTGGACTGTGGACTCTGGAAGGTCCCAGGTTTGATTCTGGTCAAGGGCACATGCTCTGGTTGTGGGCTCAATCCCCAGTAGGGGGTGTTTAGGCGGCACCCGATGTATGATTCTCTCTCATCATTGATGTTTCTCGCTCCCTTCCTGTATGAAAGCAATCCTATATAATAAAAGCCTAATATGCTAAGTGTCCAGTCGATTGGTCATCTGTTCAACCAATCAAACATAATATGCAAATGATATACTAAGGTTGCTCAACTGCTCGTTATGACATGCATTGACCACCAGGGACAAGACATTCAGATTGGTAGGTCAGATTGCTGCTGGGGTCTGGCTGATGAAGACTGAGTGAGACAGGCTGGACACACCCTGGAGCCCTCCCATGGTCCCTCCCCAGCTGGCCAACCTCCCGAGTCCCTCCCCAGACCTAATGGGGCACCGGTGGGGTCTTTTGGCCTGGCCTGTGCCCTCTCGTAGTCTGGGAACCCGCAGGGGATGTCTGAGAGCCACTTTCGGCCAATCCCCGCAGGCCAGTCCGAGGCACCACACTGGTGCACGAATTCGTGCATCAGGCCTCTAGTAAAAATATATTAAACAGAGACAGACAAAGAAAAAGACCTTCTGCTTGAAAATATTAGCCCAGCCCCGGTAGGCAAGTTTCGAAGACATCACTGGAAATAGTTTTCATTTCAATGAGCAGCGTTCTCATTGTTTGATCTCCTGAGCTTTGTCATCCAATACGACCCTCTCCAAAAAAAGAACGAATGTTTGGGGGATAGGGGTGTTTTATGCTGATCATCTCTTTCCTTTGAGGGATTACGAGGAATGCTAGGGCTAGTCAGCTGAAGGCTTGAACAGGCTCTATGTGTGGCTTTAGTGTCTAGCTCTGGATGCATTTGGGTTTTTAATTGTGTTTAGCACTAAACATCCCCAAACAAAGCCCAGCGATCATAAAATTTATCTAGCATCACACCTAAGACAGGTGGCGGGAGGAGGGCCCAGGATGAGCCCCAAAAATCAATTTCATGTCATCCATGGCGGCATTAAAGTGATCACTGAGTGCTGATTAAATTCTCCTCTTGCAAGAAAGTGTTTGCAAATGCACATTGAGACCTTTAAGCCTGAGGACTGGGGAGCGTGAGGGTTGCGTTTCTAAGGTGTGTTTCTCATATTCAAAATATTGCACTTCGGGCCCAGCCGGAGTGGTTCAGTGGCTGAGTGTGGACCTATCAACCAGAAGGTCACGGTTCGATTCCCCTTCAAGGGCACATGCCCAAGTTTCGGGTTCGATCCCCAGTAGGCAGCGTTGGGTGGCGGCCTATCCGTGATTCTCTCTCATCATGGATGTTTCTCTCCCTCTCCTTTTCCTTCCTCTCTGAAACAATAAAAACATTTAAAAAATATTAAGCAAGTGTTGCATTCAGATTAATTGCACATTGTTTTAAAATAGTTTGTTATTTTTTTTGAATTAACATACCAGGTGGGTAGTCATTTAAAGACAACCTAGCACCAGAGAAGGTTTGGCTCAGTGGATAGAGTGTTGGCCTTTTTTTTCAAATATATTTTCATTGATTTCAGAGAGGAAGGGAGAGGGAGAGAGTTATAAACATCCATGATGAGAGAATCATGGATCGGCCGCCTCCTGCATCTAACTGCAGATCAAGCCCACAACCTGGGCTTGTGCCCTTGACTGGAATCGAACCCGGTACCCTTTGGTTTGCATGCTGATGTTCTATTCACTGAGCCAAACCAGCCAGGGCCAATTTGATTTTTTAAAAGGGTGCAAATGCCTTGAAGAAGAACGAAGCATCTCAGGGCTCATGTCACAGTGGAAATTACAACTCACCTCCCTATTCTTTCCACATTGTTCCTGTAAATGCAGACTCTGACTAATAATGAATCTTGTAGGTAAACAGCATGTTTGTGTAAGAATCCTAGGAACTAATTTTACAAGATATGAACTCTGACCTTCCCAGTTCTGGGAGATTTGATGACCTTCAACCTTAGAACAAGGAGGACAAACTCTATGATGATGCACTCTGGACCGACACCTGACCACTTGTAAGATCCTTATTGTATTGCACTGTGCCTGTGGGCACATAGAGAACTTCTCAAGCCCCGCCCCCTGACCTCTTTGCTCTGTTTGGCCTCTCCCTCCTTATAAAAGCCTCTGCATACACTGAGATGTGCAGATAGGTTTTGGAACGAGCTTCCCCCATCTTCTCAGGTTGCTGGCACCTGAATAAACCTCTTTCCTTCTTCACCACCACCTGTCTCACCGGACTGGTTTCTGGCGTGTGAGTCAGCGGAACCTTGTTTTTCTGGACAAATTCCTGGTACATGGACTCCCTGGAATATGTGTATCATGGTCATGTTCATTCTTCTGCAGGTGACAGGGGGAAGCAGAGACCGGTCACAGAGGAAAGAAGCAAAGAATAGGCTTTTGCCTCCATTGCAAGAAGAACCGGTAAGAAAAGATGGATGGGAGGAGAAGGAGCAGGAGGAGGAGGAAAGATTGGGGATGGAGTCTGATCTGAGGGAGGAATTTAGACTGTGTAGACTGAAGTGAGTTTAGCAGCAAAACCATACAGCTCTTGCCAGAGCATGGCTGAGGTTTGGGGAAGGGAGAGATCATTCTATAAGTGATGTTATGAGAACTCAGGAATCCTACTTGCTGTTTCACCTGACTCTTAATTCCGGTTTGCCTGATCAGCTATCCCAGTATCTGTCTGTCCCTGAATATTTTGGTCTTGCCTCTCTCTCCAGCACCTGAGAAGTAAGAGCGCTGTTAAGAAGCCCACCTGGACGCTGACATTAGCTTTGTTCCTCTGCCTGCTGTTAAAGGTAAAGCATATTATATGTTCAGGGTGGCTTATTCTATGGTTTGTGAGTTCCCTCTGAGATGATCAGAAAGAAGATGGTGTTTTCAGGACAAAAAGAAAAGTTAATGAAGAGGAAAGGAAAGAAAAGAAAAGGAAAGGAAAAAAAGAGCCCAGCTGGCATGGCTTAGTTGTTTAGCTTAAACCTAGGAACCAGGAGATGTCGATTCGATTCCCAGTCATGGCACATGCCCGGGTTACAGTCTTGATCCCCAGTAAGGGGCATGCAGCAGCAAACAATCCGTGATTTTCTGTTATCATTGATCTTTCTCTCTCTCTCTCCCTCTCCCTTCCTCTCTGAAATCAGTAAAACTATATGAAAAAAATGAAAGAATAGTCATGGCACAGTCAAGTAGAGCATTGAGTCAATCCTATATAATAAATGGCTAATATGCAAATGGACCAAACAGCAGAAAGACTGGTCACTATGATACTCACTGATCACCGGGGGCAGATGCTCATGGCAGGAGCTGTCCACCGGTGGTCAGTGCACTCCAACAGTGGGAGCGCCAGTCACCCAAACGCCAGGCTAAGAGCTGCTGAGCCCAGGGGAGTGATGGGAGCCTCCATGGCAGAAATAAAGCGGGCCCAAGCCGTCAGTTGGACATCCTGCAAAGGGTCCTAAACTGGAAGAGGCTGAAGAGCTGACTAAGGGACACCCCCAAGTGGATGAATTTGGTGCACTGAACCTCTAGTTATATTATAATAACTGTGTACGGTGTCAGATGGGTTTGAGATTAATTGCATGATTTGTTGGTCCATTACATAATGTCTAATCATTGGGGTGTACCCCTGACAGGAACCTAATGTTCTAAGTCAACTGTCATTTTAAAAATGTTTTTAAAATTCTATAGGACCATGTTACCTGCAGAGAGTCATATTTTTCCTTAAGTACGTTTTGCACAGATTGTTCTAGAAGAGAGATCTAAAGCTAAAAAGAAAGAAAAGTTCAGACTTATAAATTTGCAAAATAAACCAAGGGAAACTGCAAACACAACGGTAAAAACCATAAGGATAAAAGTCGAGGTCAAATGCATTTGGAGACTGCATCCCCTGTCTTTCGAAACCAGGACCGAAGTAGCGAGAGGCTCTGAGAACAGTGACTGTTGCTCCTTGGACCACGGAGGGGTCATGGCCAAGCTCCTGTCGAAGGTGCACCTCACCTCGCACCCCATCTTCCTGAGGCGTGGGCCCTCGTGGTATGAGGACGAAAAAGATCGCACATGGTTGTACCTCATCATTGAGAAAAAAGATGTCCTGAAAGTACTGTTGCACCAGGTAGACATCTCAATTGAGGATAACGCACTCACCCCAAGCACGCAGACCTCCTACATAATGCCTTTGTTGTGGACGTTCCACTCTGGTAGCCAGTACGTGGACCACATGTATCGGTTCTGGCGCATCGTGCACCACATCAAGGTGCATGGAGGGGAGGAAATGATCCTTGAGCTGATGAAAGACTCATAGGACATGTGATGGGGTCCCCGGCTCTTGTCAACCTGAGCCCCAGTCCTGCTAGCCTGCTGGTGGGACGTGTATAGTTCTGTTCACCTTCTTACTAAGCTCAGTTGTTCTATCTGCCACGCCCTGGTGCGAGGGCACATTCATTTCTCTCTCTCTCTCTCTCTCTCCCTCTCTCTCTCTCTCTCTCTCTCCTCATTCTTATTCTTCTACTTGTTGTTGTTCTTCTTGTTCTTCTTCTTCTCCTCCTCCTCCTCCTTCTCCTCCTTTCTCTCTCTCTGTCTCTTTGTCTCCCTGTATCTCTCTGTCTCTCTCCCTCTCTCTCAAATCAATAAAAGCATTTTGAGCCAAGCTGGTGTTTCTCAGTGGTTGAGGGACGACTTATGAACCCAGAGGTCACGGTTCAATTTCTGGTCCGGGCACAGACAAGAATTAACCAATGAGCCCTAGCTTGTTGGGTTCAGTGGATAGAGGGTTGGACTGTGGCCTCTGGAAGGTCCCAGGTTCGATTCTGGTCAAGGGCACACACTCTGGTTGTCGGCTCGATCCCTAGTAGGGGGTGTGCAGGATGCACCCGATGTATGATTCTCTCTCATCATTGATGTTTCTCCCTCCCTTCCTGTATGAAATCAATACTATATAATAAAAGCCTAATATGCTAAGTGTCCTGTTGACTGGTCATCTGTTCAACCAATGAAAGCATAATATGCAAAGGATATACTAAGGTTGCTCAACTGCTCACTATTACAAGCATTGACCACCAGGGACAAGACATTCAGATTGGTAGGTCTGATTGCTGCTGGGGTCTGGCTGATGGGGACTGAGTGAGACAGGCTGGACACGGCCTGGAGCCCTCCCATGGTCCCTCCCCAGCTGGCCAACCTCCCATGTCCCTCCCCAGACATAATGGTCCACCGGTGGGGTCCCTTGGCCTGGCCTGTGCCCTCTCATAATCTGGGACCCCTCGGGGGATGTCCGAGAGCCAGTTTTGGCCCGATCCCGCAGGCCAGGACAAGGCATCGCTCTGGTTCACGAATTCGTGCACCGGGCCTCTAGTAAAAATATATTAAACAGAGAAAGACAAAGAAAAAGACCTTAAGCTTGAAAATATTAGCCCAGGCCCGGTAGACAAGGCTCGAAGACATCACTGGAAATAGTTTTCATTTCAATGACCAGGGTTCTCATTGTTTGATCTCCTGAGGTTCGTCAACCAATACTACCCTCTCCAAAAAAAGAACGAATGTTTGAAATATTACTGGTGTTTTATGCTGATCATCTCTTTCTTTTGAGGAATTACGAGGGATGCCAGGGCTCGTCTCCTGAAGCCAGAGCCGGCTCTGTGTATAGCTTTAGCATCTAGCTCTGGATGCATTTGGGTTTTTAGTTGTGTTTAGCACTAAACAGCCCCAAACAAAGCCCAGGGATCATAAAATCCATCTAGCATCGCGCCAGACAGAGGCAGCTGGAGGGGGTGCTGGAGGGAGCCCCAGAAATCAATTTCAGGGCATCCATGGTTGCATTAAAGAGATCACTGACTGCTGATTAAATTCTCCTCTTGCAGGAAAGTGTTTGCAAAGCAAATTGAGACCTTTAACGCTGAAGACTGGGGAGCGTGAGGGTTGTGTTTCTAAGGTGTGTTTCTCATATTTAAAATATTGCACTTCCGGCCCAGCCAGCATGGCTCAGAGGTTGAGTGTTGACCTATCAACCAGGAGGTCACGGTTCCATTCCCGGTCAAGGGCACATGTCGGCGTTGTGGGCTCGATCGCCAGCAGGGGATGTGTGGGAGGCGGCCGATCTGTGATTCTCTCTCATCATGGATGTTTCTCTCCCTCTCGATTTCCCTTCCTCTCTGAGTCAATAAAATCATTAAAAAATATTAGCAATTGTTGCATTCAGATGACATGCACATTGTTTTAAAACAGCTTATTATTTTTTTGGTTTAACATACCGGGTGGGTAGCCATTTAAAGATGATCTAGCGCACGAGCAGGTTTGGCTCAGTTGATAGAGCATCGGCCTGCGGACGGAAGGGTCCTGGGTTTGATTCCAGTCAAGGGCACATGCCCGGTTGCGGGCTCGATCCCCAGTGGGTGGTGTGTAGGAGGCAGCCGGTTCATGATTCTCTCTCATCATCACTGATGTTTCTATCTCTCTCTCCCTTCCTCTCTAAAATCAATAAAAATACATATATATTTTTTTATAAAAGAGCCCATGGACTCGAGATCGGTCATATGTCCCACTGCAGGCACTATGCCACGTGACCACTTTAGTCTCGATTTCTTCGAGGGCAGTATGAGGGTGACATTTGTATTATGTTTTTTTTTCCACCCCTTTTTTCTTTTTTCTTTTTATTTTCTTCTCCTAAATGCCAACAGGCAGATGTCTGATATTTCCTATGGCACCATTCATTTTTCCTTCCTAATTGGGGAAGAATTTGCCTCAGTCCAGGTCATTGAGATGGGAGTTGTTTTTAATTTTTTTTCCAGAGAGGAATGGAGAGGTTAAGAGTAAGAAACATCCATGATGACAGAAACATGGTTCGGCTGCCTACTGCACATCCCTCACTGGGGATCAAGCCCACAACCTGGGCATGTGCCCTGGACCGGAATCGAACCCGGGACCCTTCAGTTCGCAGGCCAACACTATATCCACTGAGCCAAAACAGCCAGGGCCAGTTTGACTTTTTCAAAAGGTGCAAATGCCTTGAAGAAGAACGAAGCATCTCAGGGCTCATGTCACAGTGGGAATTACAACTCACCTCCCTATTCTTTCCACATTGTTCCTGTAAATGCAGACTCTGACTAATAATGAAGCTTGTAGGTAAACAGCATGTTTGTGTAAGAATCCTAGGAACTAATTTTACAAGATATGAACTCTGACCTTCCCAGTTCTGGGAGATTTGATGACCTTCAACCTTAGAACAAGGAGGACAAAATCTATGAGGACGCACTCTGGACCAACACCTGACCACTTGTAAGATCCTTATTGTATTGGACTGTGCCTGTAGGCACATAGAGAACTTCTCAAGCCCCGCCCCCTGACCTCTTTGCTCTGTTTGGCCTCTCCTTCCTTATAAAAGCCTCTGCCTACACTGAGATGTGCAGATAGGTTTTGGAACGAGCTTCCCCCATCTTCTCAGGTTGCCGGCACCTGAATAAACCTCTTTCCTTCCTCACCACCACCTGTCTCACGGGACTAGTTTCTGGGGTGTGAGTCAGGGGAACCTTGTTTTTCTGGACAAATTCCTGGTACATGGACTCCCAGGAACCTGTGTATCATGGTCATGTTCATTCTTCTGCAGGTGACAGCGGGAAACAGAGACCGGTCTAAGAGGAAAGAAGTGAAGAACAGGCTTTTGCCTCCATTGCAAGAAGAACCGGTAAGAAAAGATGGATGGGAGGAGAAGGAGCAGGAGGAGGAGGAAAGATTGGGGATGGAGTCTGATCTGAGGGAGGAATTTAGACTTTGTAGACTGAAGTGAGTTTAGCAGCAAAACCATACAGCTCTTGCCAAGAGCATGGCTGAGGTTTGGGGAAGGGAGAGATCATTCTATAAGTGATGTTATGAGACCTCAGGAATTCTACTTGTGTTTCACCTGTCTCTTTGCTTCCTGTTTGCTTGATCAAAAATCCCAGTATCTGTCTGTCCCTGAATATTTTGGTCTTGCCTCTCTCACCAGCACTTGAGAAGCAAGACCGCTGTTAAGAAGCTCACCTGGACGCAGACCTTAGCCTTTTTCCTCTGCCAGCTGTTAAAGGTAAAGCATATTATTTGCATGGGATGGCTTGTTCTATGGTTTGTGAGTTCCCTCTGAGATGATCAGAAAGACGGTGGTGTTGTCAAGACAAAAAGAAAAGTTGAACCAAGTACAAAGTTTTAATTAAGAAAAACAAAGAAAAGAAAAAAAATAGACTGGCTGGCATCGCTCAGTTGTTTAGCTTAAACCTAAGAACCAAGTGATGTCGATTCAATTCCCAGTCATGGCACATGCCCGGGTTACAGTCTTGCTCCCCTGTAGGGGGCCTGCAGGAGGCAACCAAACCCTGATTCTCGGTCATCATTGATCTTTCTTTCTCTACCACTTCCTTCCTCTCTGAAATCAGTAAAACTATTTGAAAAAAATGAAAGTATAGTCATGGCACAGCAAAGTAGAGCATTGAGACATTCCTATATAATAAAAGGCTGATATGCAAATCGACCAAACGGCAAAACGACTGGTCTCGATGACACCCACTGACCACCAAGGGCAGATGCTCACGGCAGGAGCTGTCCACTGGTGGTCAGCGCACTCCCACAGAGGAGCGCCGCTCAGCTAAAAGGCAGGCTCATAGCAGCCTAGCACAGGGGGTTAGTGGGAGCCTCCACAGAAGCACTAAAGTTGGCATTAACCATCAGTAGAACATCGCTCAAGGGGTCCTAGACTGGGAGAGGCTGCAGGGTTGGCTGAGGAACCACCTTGAGTGCATAAATTTTGTGCACTGAACCTCTAGTAATATGTAATAACTGTGTATGGTGTCAGATGGGTATGAGATTAATTCCATGATTTCTTAGTCCATTATAAAATGCCTAATCATTAGGGTGTACCCCTGAAATGAACATAAGGCTCTATGTTAACTGTCATTTAAAAATGTTTTTAAAATTCCATAGGACCATGTTATTTCCTAGAGTCATATTTTACCTTACATACTTTTTGTACAGTTTGTTTGAGAACAGAGCTCTAAAACTGAAAAGAAAGAAAAGTTGAGATTTATAAATTTGCAAAATAGCCGAGACCGGTTTGGCTCAGTGGATAGAGCGTCGGCCTGCGGACTGAGGGGTCCCGGGTTCGATTCCGGTCAAGGGCATGTGCGTTGGTTGCGGGCACACCCCCAGTAGGAGATGTGCAGGAGGCAGCTGGTCGATGTTTCTCTCTCATCGATGTTTCTAACTCTCTATCCCTCTCTCTTCCTCTCTGTAAAAAATCAATAAAATATTAAAAAAAAATTTGCAAAATAAACCAAAGGC